CCCCCCCCCCCCACTGCTCTTGCCTCACAGGATGTCCTGCTTCCTGCGGGCCGTGTTTTGGTAAACAAGGTGTTGAAATAGTTAAAGAGCTGAGCAAAGCCCCAAGGGCCTGAGTCACCTCGGCTGGGAGAGGGGCTGAGTGACTCACCCCCCTCCACAGCATAAATAGCCGCTGTCAGTTCTGCTCGGCACAGAGCCGCAGGGCAGCCGGGTACCCAGAGACAGACAGACAGACAGACAGCCCAGCAACCTCAGCCCACTGCCTCGCCATGGGGCTCACTCTCCTGGCCCCGCTCGCCATGGGGCTCCTGGCCCTGACCTGCTGGGCTGCACCACTCCACTCCAAGCCCCAGGCTGTGATCACTTTCCCGGGGGAGCTGGTCAGCAATCGGACGGATCTGCAGCTTGCAGAAGTGAGTAAGGGCTGGGACCCCCAGCAGGGCATCCCTGAGGTGCCCGGTGCCCGTGCAGCGGGTCGGCTGTTAGGACAGTGGGCTCGTGGGTCCCCTGCCAAGATGAGCCCAGTGACCACACTCAGGGCCTTGGCTGTCTCCCCATCCATGGCAAAGGAGGGATGGAGGCGAGCAGGCTGGAGGGCTGCACCGCTCTCGTGAGAGGAGGGGGGTGTCCTGGATGCAGGGCCGGGGAAAGCTGGGAGTCTCCTTGGGAATGGGGAGGGCTCAGGGATGGGTCACTTCCCCTCTGGGTAGCCCAGCTGGTCCTGTCCTGGCAGCAGGCACTGCCAGTCCTGCCCGGCGCTGCCCGCCCCTCTGACCATCTCTCCTTTCCTAGAGCTACCTGCTGCGCTTCGGCTACATGGCGTCCGAGGGGCAGACCCGCAGCAGGCAGCTGTCCATGGGCAAGGCACTCCGGAGGATGCAGAAGAAGCTGGGGCTGGAGGAGACGGGGGAGCTGGACGCCAGCACGATGGAGGCCATGCGAGCACCTCGCTGCGGCGTCCCCGACGTGGGCAGCTTCCTCACCTTCGAAGGAGACCTCAAGTGGGATCACAATGACCTCACTTACCGGTGAGCCCCCCCCCTACCTCCCAGGCCTCTCCTGGACTTCCAAATACCGGCGATGCCCCACAGACAGGGACTGCACCTGGGGGCAGGCAGGGAGAGCCCTGGCCCCAGGCCAGGCAGGCTGATTCTACAGCTGCAGCGCTGACTAAGCCATAATGTCCTCCAGCCTGCTTGGGCTGAGGTCCCCGGCAGTCCCCTGGCCTAGGGAGGCCCAGGCCGGAGCGGGGGGGGCGGGCGCGGCTCTGTGCCATGGCACTACTGGGCTCTGCTGGCCACCGTATCGGGCTGGAGCACCTGAGGCCTTGGACTGAGTCCTGTGATTGCAGCAGGTCCCCTGTGTGTCTCAGGTGTCCCCTCCCTGCGTGGTTAGTTGCGGCTGGGGGGTTACTCTGGGGCACCAGAGCCCTGCGGGTCTGACCCTGTGCGGCTTCCTCCCTCCCCACCCCCACCCCGGCAGGGTAATAAACTACTCCCCAGACCTGGACGCCTCTGTGATAGACGATGCCTTCGCACGGGCCTTCAAGGTGTGGAGTGACGTGACCCCGCTCACCTTCACCCGGCTGCAGAGCGGCGAGGCCGATATCATGATCCAGTTTGGCGCCCAGGGTGAGCCCCTCTCTAAGGGCGGGTGGGTGGGGTGTGGGGTGCCTGCGGCAGGGCTCGTGAGGGGGCCAAAGGGCAGGCATGGGGGGAGGTTTCCTGGGTTATACTTGTTCATTTACACCTCCTGGCAGCCCCTGGCAGCATGGTGTTTGCTGGGTGCGTGGGCTGGCACGTCTGTAGAGGGGTCTGGCCATCTCCGCCCTGCTCTCTCTGGGCAGACGGGGCTTTCAGGAGCCAGGCGGGTGGCTGACTGTGGGGTTCTGTCTCCAGAGCACGGTGACGGGTATCCATTTGACGGGAAGGACGGACTTCTGGCCCACGCTTTTCCCCCTGGCAAAGGGGTTCAGGGAGATGCCCACTTCGATGACGACGAGTTCTGGACGCTGGGAACAGGGATAGGTGAGGCCAGACTCCAGGGTCGCTGCCTGGCTGGGGAACCCACCCTCCCACTGGCACTAGCCGCAGCCCCTGAACCACACCCCTCTTCTCTCCCCACCAGTGGTGAAAACCAGCTACGGAAATGCCAACGGGGCCGCCTGCCACTTCCCCTTCACCTTCGAGGGACAGTCCTACTCCACCTGCACCTCCGAGGGGCGCTCCGACGGGCTGCCCTGGTGCGCCACCACCGCCAACTATGACACGGACAAGGTTTACGGCTTCTGCCCCAGCGAGCGTGAGTACCAGCGCGTTGGGGCAGCCCTGGGGCGGGGCCCCGGGCAGGGAGGATATCGGGAGGCAGGTTCCCTGGCACTGGGGTGGAGGGGTTGCTGTGAGTCCAGAGGCCCCTGCCTGGCGGAGACGTTCCAGCGCTCTCTGTATCTCTCGGATAGTTCTCTACACCTACGACGGCAACAGCGACGGTGCCAAGTGCGTCTTCCCCTTCATCTTCGAGGGGAAGTCCTATGATGCCTGCACCACAGAAGGGCGCTCTGACGGCTACCGCTGGTGCGCCACCACCGCCAGCTTCGACCAGGACAAGAAATACGGGTTCTGCCCCAACAGAGGTACTGGGGGGCGCAGGGCGGGACTGTGTCAGCTGATGGGGTGGCCCCCTAGGGCACAGCACCTCCCCCGGCCCTGCTGTGCTCTGCAGGAGTCTCTTCCCTTGGGGACGATTGGAGGGCTGCAGCTGGGTGCTTTCCCCATCTGCCCAGGGGCCTCTTCCAGCCCTGTAACCTGGAGGCCTCTCTTGCTTAGCTGGGCCCTGCTTCGGGCTGTCAGCACTCCTGCCCTGCTGCGAGTGCATGGCCCAGCGTGCAGCCCCACGGCATCCTCCGCCCTGGCTGCTCGCAGCCCTGGCCAATTGCACAGAAAGCCTGAGAGGGGGCTGGATTTGGGAGCCCCCGGCTCACTCACCCCTGGCTCATGCACCTTGGCACTTGCTGGCCTTGGCCTCTTTGCCCAGGACCGTTTGGCGTGAGGATTCTTGCCCTGGGGCAGGCGCATGAGCTGGGCTAGCACCAGACTCCTCAGAAGCCAGGCCCTTGCTGCCCTCCCCATACTCTGTGCCCCCTGCCCTCTGGGGCCCCCCAGTGAGTCTGTGTTTGCAGTGACAGCTGCCCCAGAGGATGTCTCCTTGTTCAGAGGGGCCCAGGCAGCCTAGGGGTGCCCTACCCCCCCCCCCCCATCGCCGGGGTGCTGGAGTTTTGCTCACCCGGCTGGTTTTGTGCTGCAGACACAGCTGTGATTGGCGGGAACTCCCAGGGCGACCCGTGTGTGTTCCCATTCACCTTCCTGGGCCAGACATACAGCGCATGCACCAGCGAGGGGCGGCAGGACGGAAAGCTCTGGTGTGCCACCACCAGCAACTACGACACCGACCACAAGTGGGGCTTCTGTCCCGACCAAGGTACGGCCGCTCCCTGGGCCCCAGGCCACTCACCTCTGCCCCGCACGGGGCCCTTTCTAGGAAGCAGTCACGGACCCTGGCCTCAGCCCAGCTACGGCTGCTGCACCTCAGCCCCCTGGGGCATGTGTTGCAGCAGGTGGCTGGTCAGGGCTCTCTGGATTGCAATGTGGGGCTGGCTGGGGGTGGGGCATCAGACCCCGGGGTCGGGCGGGGCTGGCTGGTGGGGGGGCAGTCGAGACCCGGGTCGGGCGGGCGTGGCGTGGT